AAAATTTTATTGCGAAAAATTTTTGAAAAAACCAATTCAGTGAGTGTATGAATACGACGAAAACTAATTGCTGACTGTAACGGTTTATTTCATTTCGCAAATCAAGCAATAGTAAAACTCCTGCTGAACGTACCCGATCGAATACAGTAAAGCACTCACGAACCACTTCATTCCAAGAACGTTTCTTGGCGTTTAACCTCTTCATAACATCACAAAATTCATCGAAATCAATTTCGTGGTTTCCAATCTGAAATCCTCATTCCCGTTAGAAAGCTATCAGATAATTAAGTTCTCAATCGAATCAATCGCACGCACTTCTGGAAACATGAAGCCAACGATGAATTTGCTGAACAGCCGTGGGGAGGGAGAAGGGACTTGCGAAAAGGTGTTGCACACGGTGTACAGAGGTTGTTTTAAGCTGTTCGTGTTCACTGCTCATAAGACGAACTCATTTGCAATTGCATGCTAACTGCATATGCTCAAAAATAGGCTCTTCTATCAAGTGGACGACATCTCTGAGAAAAACAATTATTTCCATTCATTTTTCATTGCATATCGAATGAGATCGGTAGATGGAAGCATCTCCCAATTACGTCATTCATCATAGAAGGTAGGCAACTAAAAATATGTTCTTCTACCAACTAGAAGGTCACGAGTTCGAGTCTCACTCGTGAGAGGAAGTTTTGCTTGAAAGCAGATGCTGCATCAGTGTAATTGCTTCTATCAAGTTTGTGTCAGGCAATAATAAGTAATAACAATAACAATAACAAATATTAAAAGCAAGCAAATTAATGAAACTGAACAAAGATAGTGAATGACGCAAATTACGGCGTAAATTTCAATGTGAAAAGTAATACTGTGAAAAAATGTCGAGTGATATTTCGATGGGAATACTACATAATCTCACATATTCTCAGTCGACTAATATTCTCTCACACATTCTCAGTAAATATTAATAGAATTTAATCACAAAAGAATCCATATGAAAGCAACCCTCATCGAGAAGGGAAAAAGGCCTTATCTATCACAATATAATGTCGATGAAATGAGTTAATGAAATCTTTCAATTACCTGTGATATTTCGATGTAAAATTTAATCAAAATCTTGAAAGTCACACGCTAATGTTAGTGAATAAGAACACGAGTTACGGGATTGCTTAGGATAATGGAAATCTCCTCCATTGCTAGGCTACCAAAACATACTCGCTCTGGTTGAAGGTAATCGACGATTATGAAACATTTGTAAACTCACAGTTTACAGTAAGCCTCAAAGCGGAACGATTGAAGTAGTACAGAGTTGGAATAAAGAAGCCGTTACGTACCTGATCAACCTCTTCGATGATCTGTTCAAGTTCATCTTGTTGTGGTTCAAGTCCAAGATTTTTCATTGCACTCTCAAGTTCCTCAATACCAATCGCACCGCTTCCATCTGAATACAGCCAGTTTCATCTTGCCACTCAAGCATTTCTCATATCAAAGAATATGCTGATTTTGATCACAGCCACTATTTTGATGATCACAACGATTTATCTGTTACAATGTGGTCTTTTGAGGAAGAGTTGACCTCTTTTTGTTGATTTTCGTGACAGTAAATTGTCCTGATGTTGGA